TAAACAAGCGTATATAATCCATCTGCTATGCATATTCACAAAGCAAAGCTACTCCATATCAGTACACACTTGGAAATGACATTTTATCAAGTTTTCGTTCTCGCGGTTTTCAAATACTAGCTCTAGGTAAGAGCCCTGATGCGAGACAAGTAATTTCGTGGAGGAATCAATGCAGCTTCCACAAAGCTCGCCAACTTCTACTCTGAAAGATTAAGTTTCACAAACTTGATTCATGTCCTAATGTACACACATTTATCTCCTAATTTCTATGACCACTGTGTCATGTGAAGTATCAACCTGAGTAAGTTTCGCGCGTTTACGGACGGGAAGTTTATTCCTAACGTAATATGCATTTCTCAAAATTTTGCTGCGTACTTAGGCAACAAAATTGACACTTTTAATCCAAAGAATCTGTCCTGAGATTAACTTTTGGTAATTTACTTTTCTTTTTGAGGTCCATACAACTCAATAGTTGACTGTGGTTTTTCCTCAGCTCACTATTAGGCTTTCCAGTTTTTCACGTCAAGACTAGTTTTTGTTTATTTTAACCTTTTGTACCACCCACTTTATCCGGTTTTAGTGTGCTGCTTTTTTGTTTTACGGTCGCAGATTTTTGCTAGGATCTACCAAACAATCTACATCAAAATAGTCACGAAGAATTCGTGCAAGCACCGCAGATGCCCTTCTGCTGTTACCTCTGGCATGCAATGTTACAATGGCGAGGGCTGGTTCTACGAAGAATGCACAAATCTTACAGTAACCGGTTACAACAGACTCGGCAAGTAGAATCGTATGAGGGTATGTTGCCCTTGCAACATAGATGCTAAGGTTTTTCTGAGGAACATCATTGTCTCTTGATAGATCTGCGAAAAATGTCAGCAAACTTTAGAAAAGACCATCCCCAAACAGATAAACAAACAAAGACGCACAGTGTAGACAAAAGAGGGGACCTCGACAGCGCTGCTATCCACATGGTATGTAATGACACTAGTGAGGATATTCCGGAGCTTAGCACTATCATAACATCGACGGTACTGGGCCCCTCAGCAGACTTGGGTCTCTCAGCTCAGAGTTCCTCAATGCAGCGGTGGTCACCGAAAGTTCCTTGGGCGATTAGACTCCCGTTAACAAAGTTAAAAACGACCGCGTGTCACCTTCTAAGAAGACGAACATCGCAGATATTGTAATGAATTCAACTGGTGATTTGGTCGTACAATCTACCCCCAAGAATGCTCAAACGGACAGCGAAGACTACAAGAACCTAAAACGCGATTCAACCACTAAACAACAAGGTCTTTGACCTGAACGTACCCGAAAACCTGTGAAAACGATCACGGTTGGCGATGATTCTCCCATAACCATAAAACCTGAAGACAGCCCAAACCTCCTCTGCAGCCTGAAGGACAAAAATGGCAGGATGCTCTAGGAAGAGCTAAACAAGAAGCACAAACGCCACAGAATACAGCCTTCGACGGTCACACGGCTCACTCGCGGAAAGGACTCGAAGCATCAGCATCACCCAAGAGTACTTCCTGTAGCGCTGACTAACACTGTTGATATAGCGAATGTCCTACTGGCTAGTCGCTTACTGAAATCAGGTAAGAATGTAAGAATACTGCCTAATATACAGTATTCTGAGGGCAATCTCACCAGGAACATTCTTAAAGAAAGTTGGGACTGACTGTTTCACTTGTGAACTGTCAAGATAATAAAAAAACGTAGAAAGGACAGAGGCTACCAGCTAGGAAAACTCTGTGTAGGTAGGTTATTTGTCCATTCACACAAGGCTTTTACAGAAAAACAGGACGGAGAAACTCACGGGTTTCAAATTGAAAGCATGAACCGCTTATATGTGAACGTCACGGGCTTACCAAGTGAAATGGATTAACTGCGTGAACTCAGTAATGCTGATAATGCTGATAGGTATGTATGAAACATGGATATATTCTCAGTCTGTTTTCCAAATGATCCGCAAAACCTATAAGCAACGTACAGTCATCATAAACCGCACTCTACGTTTGCAAAGCTGCAAAAGGTACTGTCGCACAGAATACAAACGAACTGGTAACAACAGCGCATGGAGGCAATGCAAATAAATAAAAGGCTTCAGTATCAGACAAAGATTATCGATAAACTTGTCATCAATCAGAAAAGCTTATTCTGTTATTCAGTCTCTCCTCGACAAAACAAAACTTAGATTTCCCAGATGATAGGTCCTAATAGTCCGAACAACAATGACAGTGACGCCGCTAACCTTCTTGTTGAGTAGTTCTCCCGAAAATTTTAACCGACCCACACTTAACATATTGCTAAAAGCTTCACTCGCAACTCTACAGGACTTTCAGAAGTGAACCTGAGCTCTGATTTGGTGTACCTGAAAGTAGATTACCTAAAAAAGAGACCTTTCCCGGTTCGGATATGGTTCATTCTTCTATACGGAGGGAAGAAGCTTCAGTCTTGGCAACACCAATTAGCGCGCTGTTCTTGCATCTGCTAAGCCGAGGCACATTTTCGGAAATTTGGAAGCTGGCTCACATCACACCAATTTTCAACGGAGGTCGACGTAGCGAAACTTCAAGCTACCGACCGGTGGCTCTTCTTTCTACAGCCTCAAAATTATAGAGTCTCTGATATGCTACGGTATACACTGGTATTTACGATCCAAAGACTCTTTTACATACCAAAAGCACGGTTTCAGAAAAGGCCACTCACGTATAACCAACCTGTTGAGTGCATCGGATAGATGGACAACCATCCTCGATCGCAAGGAGTAGGTTGATGTCTTTTACTTTGACTTCTCAAGAACTCTCGACAGGGCCAACTATATGTGTCTTTTCAATAAGCTCACACGATTAGTCATCAAATCACCTTTAATTAATCGACTCATTCCGTATCTAGAAAACCTACATTTTGAGGTAAGTGTTAACTTTACTTTCTCTAGGGCCATCAAATATGTTAGTGGCGTGTCCCAGGGTTCAATACTATACTCCTTCTTTCATTGACTTATATCAACGATCTTTCACAACATGTATTGTCAGATTTATTACTCTTTGCTGATGATGTGAAACTCTAGACAGAAGTACGTAACCATGAGAAGGAACAGGGAATTCAGGAGGATCCGAATGGACTTCAAAGTTGGGCAGACGACAATGAACTTAGCTTTAACACTTCAAAGTGTACAGTATTTCATCTGAGACATTTTGCAGACTACAACTACGACTCAGGCAACTCCCCTGTAGAAGTATTTTGGGCTGAAAGAGATCTAGGAATGTTGGTGACCTATGACTAGAAGTCTTATGCTAACTAAGACCAGAATGCCTTTCGAGCAAACCTCGCATCGGTAACATTGAAGTGCATTTTTGGCCAGTTCGACGGAACAACTTTCCTGATAATCTTCAACTGTTGCATTCGTCACCATTTTGAGTACGGAAACATAGTTTTTCCTTCTTCACTACAAAAGGATAAGGACACTCTGGAGCGTATCCAACGGAGAGCCACGAAATCAGTTCGGGGACTCAACTTCAAGTTTTATAACGAGCACAACCAATCAGTGAAACTTTACACATCAGAGTACAGGTTTATTCGAGCTGACCTTCCAAAGGCTTACAGCATCCTCAACGATTCTGGACATCTCCCTGAACATCTACTTAAGCTTAGCTTCAGCACAAACCTGAGGAGTAACACTCAGAAACTGGAGACATAACATAGAAAAACGGACTGTAGACACATGTCCTACTTCTAAAGAGTAGTCAAATGCTAGAATTCGCTACCAACGGGGTCAGTTCAAGCTACTTCCCAGGGGTCATTCAAGAGATAACTTGACATATTCATGAGGACCGAGGATAGTGTTGAAGATGGCACAGGTATTCAGTGTTTGACAACGCTTTTACCAGTAACACCTAGTATAACTCGTACCCAAGGAGTTGGTCTAACCTTTGTCGATCGGTTAGGTCTCCTCGTTTAAGGATAGAACGTTTCAGTGTTTCGTAAGGTTCAGGAACGTCACTAGTAAACATACTAGGTGTTACGTACCTGTTGAATTCCCGCGGTAGTGCTATGACTGTTGCGAGGAGTTTTGCACGTGTGTCGTTCACGCCGTGCTCGTGGGAGTCGACTTCTGCGTAGCAGAACCAGGCTTCGATACTGTCGGGCCAAAAGAGTATGAGTTGGAACGAGGGTGGGGATATAGTCTTAAGTTTAAATACTTTGGGTGTCTGTTCAGTCATGATGAAATGTGGAGTACGATAATGAACGAGGGACAAAATATATATATCCAAAAAGCACGAAAAATATCACAATGTATAAAAATTAAAAAATAAGGCAATAATATATAAAAATCCCAAAAAGGAACAGACTTACAGTTGCAATTAGGTGTACCAGATCACGTTGGTCTCACCAATGAAGATGGCACAGGTATCCAGTGTTTGACAACGCTTTTACCAGTAACATCTAATATAACTCGTACCCACCAAGAGAAATCAAAAGACAGAATCGAGGAGATCAGAAGTTGTATTTGACGATTGCCAATATATCGGTATTGTCTGATCTAGTCTGGCTAGCGATTGCAGTAGATGTTGAGCATGGCGCTCCCACACGTGATCTGGTGCGGATGCATGACCGAGCGCCTTCAGCTAGATGAGTCCATTAAAACATGTGGTCAGCATCCAATGTCGATAACTTACAGAGCTATTTATTTTGGGGATTTATTTACCGCTACAGTGTCTTACTATGAATAACCACTTTTTCTTTTTCCTCTTTTGTCGATAATATACCTTTGTTCCTGTCTGGAGTTATTGGTGATCCACTGATATGCCTAGCGAAGCTTGAAGTTGCAGTCTGAAGGATATTTAGAAGTAGATTAGTACATTTTGAAGAGGATTTTACAGCTTCTAATAAAAGTAGAATTATCGTGGCGATTAAAAGAGAGATCTAATTTTTATTTTTCTGGTTCCAGAGATTGGTCAATATGTTTTTACTTTTACATAGTAATTTGCATTTCAGTATATACCGCGCTGTTCGGTCCTTGCGTCACGTCGTTCTTGCTAAAGGTAAATGTATAGTATAAGTACGAGTGAGTGAGGATCGGTGAAGCGGTATCTAGGTTTATGCAGCATTTAGGTATCCTTGATACTGAATAGTCGAAATGTAGTTCAAAGTAAAGTATATGGATGGCCTCGAATCAAATCTCAACCAATGGCTGGGGTGTTTAGGATGTTTTTTTCAAAGTCATACAAAAAATCGAAGCTTTCATCAAAGTCTGGAGACGTCTTGCGGAGAACTCAAAATTTTCACGAAAGGTTTGGGAAATTTCCATCCAGCTGGATGAGATTATTATGTTTTTGTCGCATTTCTCCGAAATTTTCTAATTCAGCTTACCAGAAACTTCCCTTAATCCGATAAAACTTACACTGAAATCGGGATATTGGGACGATTTACTAGTATTTAGTTACGGAACGATTACCGGAAAATATTACTATTATGATAAATCGACAGTTACAACACGAAGTTATGTATATGAATTATCGGGGTTCTCACGAACTGACGCCAGCAATAACGCAAGAGCTAGTTCTGGGCTTATGTCTGGTTAATTCAATCACATACTTCTGTGGAAATATTGTTGTATATTGTTTAGGTCGTCAATAATGATGACGAGAAATTCCGGCGAGACTATAATTTATGGACGAACCAATCAGATTAACGATAATAGATCAGATTCAGATTTGTGTAGTAAGGAGAGAAGGCCTACGGCCTATGTTATTCCTTTTCTAGTATGCTTCTGTGAGTGTCCAGTCTTCTCTTGAAAGAGTCAATTGAAGGTGCGGACACCACTGCTTCAGGCAGCAGGTTCCAAGTATTGATGACTCGGTGTGAAAACCTGTATGTCACGGGTATTTTGTTCGTTCTTGGCTTTTCTACTCGCCTGCTATGTCCTCTGAGGTGTCCCGATCTAGTGGGAAGAAAGGGAGAGAATAAGTTAGGTCCGAAATCATTTCTCAGTATTCTGTACATCAATATTAGATCTCCCCTTAGTCTGCGATAGGACAGAGTAAAGAGGTTCAGTTTTTCAAGTCGCTCTTTATATGATAAACCCCGGATTTCCGGAGTTGCACGCGTAGCTGCCCTCTGTACCTTTTCTATTATGTCTGAGTCACCTTTTAAACAGGGGCTTGCAGCCTGAACACAGTTCTCTAACTTAGTTCTCACTAAGGATGTGTATAATGTGGTGAACATGGTAGTATCAAGCTTAGTGAATGTCCTTTTTAAAGCCCAGAGGGTTCGAAACCCCTTAACTGCGACCTCCCGGCAATGGGCCGTCGTCTTAAGATCATTGCTCACTGTCACCCCTAGGTCCTTATGAGACCGGACTACGGGTAATGACACATCCCCTATGTTGTACGTATTAACCTTTGAATCCCCCAAGTGCATGTAGACACACTTTTCCGAGTTGATAGGCATTAGCCACTCTTTAGACCAGTTTATCATATTATTTAAGTCCGCCTGAAGAGTAAATGCGTCTTTGTCTCCAGTTATTACTCGCCAAATTTTTACATCGTCAGCAAAATTCACTCATCCATTTGGCTAAATAGAGTTTTGGCATAATAGCTGATGTCAGTTCGTGATGGAAACTCTATATCTGATTCCTAAACCTAACCATCAACTGTAAATATTAATCGGCGAGACTCTAATTTAGCGACGACCTTTGAACGAATCTTAAATAACCTTGACAATTATTAGCCAATCAGAAGACAGTATAAAGTGAGAATATATTGTAAGTAAGTAACGAATTACAGTGGATATTCTTCTTTTACATGATTTAAAAACTTTTTAAGGTTTGATAAAGGTTCAGAGGCTCTGAATTCATAATGCATATGGTATATAAACTCGTCCATAGGGTTAGTGGTTAGGGTTGTAGCCTAGGGTTAGGGTTAAGATTAGGGTTACGGTTGGGTTAGGGTGCTAACATGAGATCAGTTTACAACCGATCTTAGAGGTTAGGGTTAGGGTTATGGTTAGGGTCAGGGTGGGGTTGTAGCCTGTCAATAAGCACCTCTTCTTTAAAATCCGATGTAGACCGATCGCATGTTAGCACTCTAGCCTTAACCTCAACCTAACTCTTAACCCTAACCTTAACCCCAAACCCTAACCTTAACTTAACACTTAACCCTAACCTTAACCCCTAACCCTATGGACGAGTTTCTATGCATTATGAATTCAGAACTTCTGAGCCTTTATCAAACCTCAACAAGTTTTTAAATCATGTAAAAGAAGGATATCCACTGTAATTCATTACTTTCTTGTAATATATTTTTACTTCATACTGTCTTCTGATTGGCTAATAATTGAAATTGCTCAAACGCTTCTCATTGGCTCGTCCCTAAATTAGAGTTTCGCCGTCCTATCTGTTTTAACCTCTCATTAATCACCTCCTCTCTAAAACCCGCTGTGAACCGACCGTATGTTGGCATCGCGTGTTGAACTTGGCTCAGTGACCTTGAAATTGCCCAAACGCTTCTGATTGGCTCGTCGCTAAATTAGAGTCTCGCCATATTAATCCTAACTCCTCACTCTGTTTTATAACCCTCATTTAGCCGTAGTATGTAGGTAAACATTCTCAGGATCTCTTTAGCGTCGCTCAAAGGTCGTCCGTAAATTATAGTCTCACCGAAATTCCTTTTCCAACCATTCAGTAAATTAATATTTTTGAACATATCATATATGAATCTACTTCTTTGGGTAAATAGTCTTTCAGCTAGACGTAAACAGACAATGAAGAATTAGTTCCCACCTATCTGACTGTAGGGTTTTTTGAGGGAGTTTTTCAGGACAATATTAGGACCATCATTACATTATATGCAGATAATCTGCCTAGTTTCCTGCGATCATCGGTTATACTCTCACAATATCAAGATATGCAGATAAATGCGAAGTGCGAGGAGTACTGGTTTCAGAAAGGTCTTTAAAAACTAGCAGAATGTTCCGGCACTTTATAACTTCATGTAAAAGCCTTTAAGTAAATTTTGTTCCATATTGACCACCAAGGCATAGATATATACTCGGTGGATAACAATGAGTCACTCTTTCAAAGGCAGTGATATTCGGTGGTTATCAGTTAGGCTTGAAGATCACTGCAAATTACCACGGAGTAGCTATGAGGTATTTTGGAACTGGTTGATCAATATTTATATCTTTTAGCCACTTAAATGTCAAAAGACAATGTTATTTGCAGTCTACATTTCACCGGAACCTGAATATTGAATGAAAGCACCTAAATCCTATCTGAAGTTTACGCTGTCGGAAAATGTCCAAAGGACTACACCTGACTTGATACCTAGGATCTCTAAGCTTTTGTGCTACGTGAAGTTGGCTAAACTAAGCTTATTCTTCTTTCGCAAAAAGATTAAAGATAAACAAATCGCTCTTGATATGCCTCAACTTTTGTATTCCAGAGTAGATAATTTATTAAGACAGTTGAAGGTTTTCAACATCAGCAATAATTTCTTGTTAGCTGATTGCTGATATTCCTATCGAACCATCAATAAGTGAAACATTTTAACGTAACACACCTCAGGCTGACATGTAGTCGAGGTTTGTGACTTATTCCTCTTTATAGGCATTTATGAGATCTATCATTGACAATACATAACCTCGGTCATAGTTAGTTGTTTGTTTTACATGCTATACTGGACCTTATTTATTTATTTATTTGAATACGTAAACATCGATACAAGGGACCATCAAATACATACGCGCCACACAATAAAAATAAAGTTGTGACCAGATAGAGAATGTAAAGTGCGTACAACAAAAGGAGAACAACAACGAATAGAAATTAGTTTATAAGAGCGAAATAGTATTGATAATAATGATAGTAATAATTATAATGGGAGTCAGTCAGTCAGTCGGTAACAAAGTAGAACTTCGTACGTACCTACATCAGTTCGAGTTGCCACACCACATTAGCACAGAGATGCAAAGGTCGATTCAAATCCCGTAGTGGTAGAGGTAATAAGAGTATAAGCAGTAATCGGGAAGATTAATGTTTGGAGATGTTATTTAAAGAGTATAATACAGTGAAATAAATTTGGGAAGAGAAAAAAAAGAAACAAGGAAGAATAAGGAGGTCAATATTTGGGAGAACACAAAGAGTGGATGCACCTGCGCCATTGCAAACGATTTTGAGCCATGTCATTCAGGGTCTCTAACCATCGGTTGCTATCATCTCGCGGTCCCCAACCAGGTAGTCTACACCTACCAACATGACTCAGTCCACTTGTCAGTGACTTCATGGACTTGTGCCATGTTTTGGTTGGCCGCCCCTAGCTTTCTTCCAACCTACTCCTATACCACTGAACATCGCACGTCGAGGCAGTCGGTCGTTGGGCATACGTAACACGTGTCCCAGCCATCTCAACTGATGAAGTTTCACTACGTCATCAATTGATTTGCCATCCTTACCTAGTACCCGTTTCCTAACAACTGCGTTACTTACTCGATGGTCCCAGGATATACGAGCAATATTTCGAAGACACCTATGATCAAATACTAGTAACCTACGAATATCCTCTACTCTTACCGGCCATGTTTCACTGCCATAAAGTAGGACGGAACGAACTGCTGCGCAGTAAACACGTCCTTTGGTTGATAGACGGATATCTCGCCTACGCCATAAATGACGCAAGTTGGCAAAAGCTAGTCGAGCCTTCTGTATCCGTGCTGAGATTTCGTCACACACCAGACCACAAGGGCTGATGAGACTTCCAAGATAAGTGAAGCGGTCGACACACTCAACTACTTCACTCCCTATCATTAGTTCGGGTGTCGATATAACCCAATCCTGAAGCAACATTTTGCATTTCGAGGGGAGAATCGCATCCCGAACATGCTTGCATTGTTGCTTAGAGTGGTCAGAAGACTCTGCATTTTGTCAGCGTCTTCACCAAATAAAACTATGTCATCAGCATATTCTAAGTCAACAAGTGAACCTCCCGGTAGAAGTTCAACCCCTGGAAATTTAGATGAGGAGAGTGTTATCTCTAAAAGTACGTCG